TTTTCAAAGATGAGATTTCAATTTTAATAATATTTTAAATTTTCAAAAATCACGAGTCTCTGCTTAGAAGAGCTTTTTTAAATTTTTTAAAGTTATTGAGCCTCTGTTTAAAGGAGCTTTAATTATCAAGATTCATAAGTCCTTCAGGTAGAACATTTTAATTTTTTAAAGTTATTGAGCTTTTACTTAGATAAGCATTCATTATTAAGATTCATAAGTCTTTTAGGTAGAATATTTTAAATTTTTTAAGTTATAGAGCCTCTACTTAGAAGAGCTTTTTAAAGTTGTTGAGCCACTACATAGAGGAGTTTTCATTATTAAGATTCGTTAGTCCGTCAAGTAGAACATTTTAATTTTTCAAAGTTGTTAAACCTCTACTTAGAGGAGTTTTTAAATTTGTAAAAGTTGTTAAGCTTCTGCTTAGAAGGAGTTTTTAAATTTTCAAAAGTTGTCGAACTTCTACTTAGAAAAGCCTTTCAAATTTGCAAAAAAAAAAAAATCTTTGTGTTCAATGTTTCATCTTTTGTATATGTTTGTCCAAACAAAATGGTTGTCTTTTTGTCTTTACCTTATTCCTAATTCTCAAAAATTAAGCAAAAGGGGGTAACTGTGAACACTCATTTTATTCGATCCTATTATTATTATTATCATCATCATCATCATCATCATCATCTTTGCTTTTCTTTTCTGATTGGCCTTTCTTTCTTTCTTTTCTAGTTTGCTCCTAAAGTCTTTAATGCATTAAATGCAATATCAAACTCTATAACAAAATTTTCAAAAAGCTAGATTTTGGTGGAATAAGTCACCGGCAGCCACCATATTTTTCCCCCCAATACTTTATTATTATTATTATTATTATTATTATTATTATATTTGATTTTCTTTTATGATTGCCTTTTCTTTCTTTCTTCTCTAGTTTGCTCCCAAAGTCTTTGATGCATTAAATGCAATATCAAACTCTATAACAAAATTTTCAAAATGCTAGATTTTGGTGGAATAAGTCACCGACGACCACCATATTTTCTTCCCCCAGTACCATTTTTTCTTCTTCAAATCTCAAGTTATGATCTTCAAATCTTAAAAATTTTAAGATTTAATCTTTCAGAGGCTCTATAAAAAGACACACATAAGAAAGGGGAACCTAGAAGATACAAACCCATACAGCCTAATTCCACGCATATTTACATAAAGAAATTTTCTAAAATATTTTAAAAGTATTAGAAATATTTTAGAAAATTTCAAGTACAAAAAAAATTATTAATAAAAAGATAAAATCACAAGTGATGATTTTTCATATAAAGAAATTTTCTAAAATATTCCAAAAATGTTGGAAATATTTTAGAAATTTTCATAATAATAATAATAATAATAATAATAATAATAATCACTTAGAAAGGAAAAATGCAAAATACAAAATACAAAATAAAAAATATAACAATAGTAATAAAATCACAAGTGGTGATTCTTCAAAAAAAAAATTTCAAAATTTTGCAAAAAGTATTGGTAAAATTATTTGAAAATTTTTTCAATAAAAAATTAATAAAATAGTAAAAATTTAAATTATCAAAATAAATAAAATTTTACAAAATAAAAGCCACGAGTAAAAACTTTATCAAAATTTCTTAGGCAAGGTATTTTTTTCAAAGTAGTCTAAAAGTGTTGGAAATATTTTGAGAGTTTAACCAATAAATTTTTAAACAACAAATAAACATTCCAAAGTAAATTAAAATTTTCAGTGATAATAAAATAAAAAGGTAATCATAAGTGGTGATTTCCCTCCAAACTTTTAAAATCATACAAAAAGTGTTGGTATAAGCAAATTATGATTTACTAAAAAAAATATTAAAATAAATCTGATGACGGAGTCTCTTCAAGAAAATAAATTATTTTTTTGAATATTTTTGAAGTGAAAAAATTTCTTAAGTTATACCAAAAGTGTCGAAAATAATTTAAAATTTTTTCAATATTCAAATAATAAAATAATAAGTAAAAGACTATTTGAACAAAACCAACTTAGGATCATATAAAATTAATTGGTATCATCTTCAGACGGGTATTGTGATTGTGCTATAACATTCTTCATACATAATCGTACTTTCAGATCTAAACTTGAATTCATAAATCAAAAGATAGGATTGATGGCCAATTGCATTTTGATAAAATAATTTAATAGTGACTCTTTAATTTTTACATCTAACGATCAAGTTTCTAAAGAAAAAATCGTTATAACAAGCGTCATGTTGTACGTAAAGGTAGCCTTGTAAATGAAAATGGCAAGCTAGTTTTTCTTTTTTTCTTTTTTTTCAAATGAAGTTATTGTGTTTCCTAATGGCCAGTAACATCACACTTTATATAAAGTTGGTAAAGACCAGGAGGAACATGCACAAAATTTGTGTTATCTGCTAGTAAAATATTAGAATTTTAATTTTTTGATACCTTCCAATAAAAAATAAAAAAATAAAAAGGAGCAATTCTGACCTAATCAAATCTGAAATTAGTCCCCTACAATTTATGCTTCTCATTTGAAAATATTTGATATTAGTCCTACAATTTATGCTTGTCATTTGAAATATATATATATATATATATTTGTTTTTTTTAAAGGTGTAAGACTAACTTACATTGGTGTAAAATTAAAAGTTTACACCTTTTCAATTATTAATTTTAATAGATTTAAAGAATAAAAAAGATAAATTAAAAAAATAATTTAATATCATTATTTGAAATTATTGAAATCAATAATAAAAAAAAAGTATAAAAATATAAAATCTTTTTTGTATAGCTTAATTTTTTTAATATATACTAATATTTGCTGTTTTTCTTATCAATAATAATTAATGATTCTAGAATTTCTATTTTGAATTTACATACGACAAATGCCAACTACTAATTCATGCTATATATAATATACAACTACTACTTTGACTGCTGATTCGCTTTGGTAAGAAGCAAGTGGGATTTAATACGATTAATATTTGATTTGCCGGCTGGGCATTGAAAGAGTGCAGGGGAAAATGAAGAATGAGAAATATTAATTGGTTTTTGTTTGGACTTTTGACGTTTAACTTCTTTGTTTCGTATGTATGATAAATCTGAAGATGATATTTGTTTCTTTTTTATTCCATGTCTTTGTTGGTGTCTTATAACATGTAAGGAGAGACAAGCTTTTTTTCTGATCTATACCTCCTGCCAATCTCTATCCTTCTTAATGTTAATAATTTTCATTTGATTTCATACTCCAATTTTATTTCACTTATAATTTTTTTACTACGATATTATAATTATTTAATCACAATAAAAAATATATATAAGAATCCATTACCTATAAATATGAGTTTCATATAAAATTTTAATAATACTCACATAATTTTAAATTATAATTAATTAATTATACTATAATTATTGTAAATGATATGCTCTTTAATCTCACATGTATAATTATAAAAAAAAAAAAAACCCAACTATCGAAAAGAGTAAAGACAAGAATATAAAAATTAATTCAATCCATTCATATAATTATTTTTAAAAATTAAAATTCAACAAATGTAAAATTAAAATTTTCAAATTCTATAACTTTATCTCATATTTTTAAATTATAACCTCTTTTGTAATTAAAAAAAAACACAAAAGACAAGTGAGATTAACATCAAGAAAATGGCATGGGTGATGGGTCTCATTCAAACATGCCATTAATTAATTAATGGTAAAACCAACCACAGCCCACAGGTCTCACCATCTTGTGTTTTTTTAAAAGGCATGGTGGTCATGTCATGTTGCAAACTGAAAAACGACAGAAGAAGCGTCCAAGGTTCATGAAATTAATGATGGAATTTTTTCAATACCTTAATTAATTTCATAATAGTAATTAAACTGTGAATAAATCCTACAAAATTTTTGATTACTTGGATTTTTGCTATTTTAAGGGCCTGGCTCCTTTTGGATCCTTTCTTTTGCTGTTATTATATTAGTGGTATAAGAAATATATCAACTACAATAATTGTGATATAATTAATTATTTATAATTTAACATTATATAAAATTTATTAAAAAATTATGTAATATTCACATTTTTAAGAGATGAATTTATGTATAATTTTTTATTATTATTTGTGCTGAGCTTGATATGAAAAATGAAAATAAAAAATCATAAAGATGAAAGACGGTTAAAAGCAAAGATAAAAAATATTTCCAACATTAGTATTTTGATCCTCAAATTAATATTAAAAATAATAATAATAATAATAATAAATATTAAATAAAAATTTATTGAGATTGAATCGTTTTACTTAAAATGAAAAAGGGCATTTATATTTATAAGGGGAGTGATCGGGTTGGAAGGACATAATTGGGTGAACCGATGATTGATCTAACGTGAAATAACTTACACCGACGTGGTTGGCGTGCCCCCAATGTTCTTGAGACGTGTTAGCATGGTCATACACTTATAAGGTGAGACATTGTTTTGGCAATGCTGAGATTAGTTCCGAGAAATAAGTTCAGCACAGCATATTAATTTGGATCAAATGTCGAAAAGGCCCCTTGAACTTTGCTAAGTTTTGGCTGCAGGATATTGGGATAAATCCTTTAACCTAAAACACACAAAATCCAGTATTATATCGAAAACTTCATTTGATCCACGCCTTTTCTGACCATGCTTCTTGTTACAATGGACAACCTTTTTGTTTATAGTAATTGAGTTAAGTGACGTGGCGTGGGCCAACTGCATTGGGCTAATTGAAAATTCTTATAGTGGCCCTGAGAACAGTCAGTAATTGCGCTTGTGGAATAGATTTATCTTTATCAATATATATTCTAAATAATTAGGTTTAACTTAAATATATATCTTATAATTGTTTAAATAATAAAGGTCATTTAAATCTATTTATTAATTATGAAATGATTTTTACTGAATCATTTTTTCTATTTATTTATTTGGATCGAGAGTTTAAAATTTTATTGTATGTCATAGACACAATAAACTTTAAAAAAGTGTTTTCGCCTCTCAAAAACAAATTTCTTTTATTCTTCCTGTTTCTTATTTCTCAAATTTTTCTAATACATTATTGAATATGAAGCAAATATATCCATGAATCTTCTCCAAGGAAAAGTATATAAGCAGATTCAGCAGCAAACTAAAATAAAACCGACAAGTTTAAGGATCCGGGGCAGAGCAAACAAAGGCAAGCAATTCCTCATCACTTTCGAACCTAGCCATGTCTTTCTCCTTCATATTAATCCATGCCTCAATGCCGCCACTCGAACTTGTGTCCATGAAAACCACCAAATTCTTGAAGGTAAGGCTAGCCGAGCCAACCCAAATGGGTTTCCCCCATCCAAAATCAGTTTCATAAAGCGGAAACCTGCACAAACTAGTAAAGCTAAAAGAAACCACCTCTCCTTTTGTGATTTTCTCAGCTCTCTCTTTCATAAAATTCAAGTGGCCGTTTCCCTCCTGGAGTTTCCTCACGTAATCGCCATCGATCTTACTTATTGCATCTCTTACCTCATTCACGATGCCAAAACACTCTTCCTCAGAGCTTATAGATGGCAGTGCTAATGCAAATCGGCTGATGTTACCAAAATAGTATTGCGGCAATGGCGGATCCATCCTTGTTCTCAGGTTCACTGCGTGAAGCACTGTGTAAAGCTTTTCAGGGTCAGGTTTTCCCTGAGTTGTAGCCATAAAGCGGCTCCAAATGAAGGCTGAAAGTGCTTCAATCCGTGTAGGGCGCCTCTGGAGTTCTCCACTTCCACCATTGTCAGCATACTTAGCTCTAAGTGCGGCAATCACTGAAGCACTGAACACGAACCTCCTTGTCACAATCTTGTCTTTAATAATTCCAGTGCTTGGTTTAAATCCGGATATGCTTCTGGGAGGAAAAAGGGTGGCCAAATCAAATCGTGGAGAGACTGTATCTGTATCAATGTTCCCACGAGCAGTGGCAGCCCAATTATTAAGAAACATGATTAGAGATAATGCATCAGCAATTTTATGAGAGATGCAAACGCCGATAGCCATTCCACCACAGTCGAATACATTGACTTGAATTGCCAAAATCAAGTCTCCTACGTTATCCAATTCATACGGCAGTAGCTTGTTGAGTTGGTCTGGCTCGGGTCGCCTTACGACATCTGAAAGTTGGGACTTCACTCGGGCTTGAACGAAGTGGACGCCTTCGTCATTGCAGTCAATGAAGGCATTGTTTTTGACACGTCCGGCCAGGGGATAAAATCGAGTTAAGGTCTCGGACAGGGATTCCTTCAACCGCTCGGTTCTCTTGAAATTACCAACATTGACATCACAATATTCTATTGGATAGAAAAAAACCATTGGCATAAAAACAGGGGTGGCAATTTGATCAAGGAAGGAGAATTGGAGATTTCGAAGGTGGTCAGGGGTTGGAGAGGAAGGCTTGATAGCATCCCTAGCAATGATTTCCACCTTCATTTTGGCTTAGTCTCGAAGAGATTTTTCAGCTAATTTTAATTCTTGGCATATATGGATGAGATTACCCCTAATTGCCAGCTTATATAGAGAGCAGATGCATCATGGGTTTGATTTTTGTGTGTTGGATTCGTACAAGTGGATTAAACTTCTCCGGAAGCCAAGAGTGGGTGGAGAATAAAACCATTCCCTTAGCAAAATCAGATTTCCATTGTGTGTGGCAGTTAGGTGGAAATTTCTCATGAATCTGGAAGCCCTAGTGGGAGCGCCAAGACTTTGATATATGAAAGAACGCGGATGGCTTTTTGCATATTCAATGCATTAAAATTCTTTGACCAATATCCAGTGGGCCACTTTTCACTCGTTACCTGCACACTCGTGCACATTTTATGTCAAATTTTGACCTAATATGATAGGAGAAAGATTGTTCCAAACAGTTAGATTATGTGAAGTATATATTCTTTTTATTTAAGGGAAGGAATCAATTTATATTAGTGTAAATTTTTTTAGTTTTATATGTATTTTTAATCATTAATTTTAATAAATCCAAAGGTTATGAGAGATAAATCAAAAAAAAAATTAATCTTATCTTTTGGATCTATTAAAATCAATTATTAAAAAAATGTATAAAAAAATATAAATTTTTTTGTGTAACTTGATCCCTCCCCTTTATTTAAATCATATTATATAATTACATTATTTAAAAATCAATTATTTATTATAAAATAATTAATTAATCTATATAAATAAATATTCAATATTTAATTATTACATGTAATGTATAACAAATTGTTGACTTTTTTTATAATGTAATTATATGACATGAATCGAATGAAAGAAATATATCATAACATGACATAATAATTTCGTACAATCTTTTGTCATACGAGAGAATATAACACATTTATCCTTAATCATGTTTAAGATGAACATAAAGTGTGCAAATATCATTTTTTTTTATATATTTTTTTGAAGTTACTCTCATAATCAAATATTATATACTTATAATAAATAATTAAATCATTAAATAATCAACTAATAAACTATAATTTAACTAAACAACCAATCCCACAAATAATGAGACATGAATTTAAAATCTTAAAATTCTAAAACATCTTCCTTACTATTAAACCAAGACCTTATTGACATTATTTCCTACACTAAAATATATACTAAGCCTCATATTTAAGTTCCTAAAGTAATAGTATTATAATTAAAATACTAATAAAAATAAACAGAAAACAATTAACTACATTTCAGCTTTGTGAAGCCATGAGGCCATATTCAATCATATAAAATCTTCAAAAGACAAATGATAATGAATTTGAAAAGCATGATCATTTCCACGTGAAAAGAATTAGTAAAGAATTTATAGATTATCAGTGGCCTACATGTGGTTAAGGAAAAAATGCCTCAGGATGGTTTATGCTTTTAGGAACAGTTTCAAACCTTAAAACTTTCTCATGCTCTTAAAAGCTTCACTACTCCTAATCACTCGATCATAGATGCCCTAATTGAGAATAAATTTAAATAAACTAAGTATGATTCTAATACCTTCCCTCATGAATAATGGCCCCAACCGTCCAGTAAAAAAATATGTTGAAATGTGCTCTTTAAATTAAAAATATATAATCCATAAATATGAGATACTATCATTAATTTTGCAAAAAATTTTCAATATTTCACTCGAATAAACTCGTTTAAGAATATTTTATGATCACAATACCTGTATTAAAAAGAGATTAAACTTAGAAGCGTTCAAGAATTGGATCTAATCAAGTTCAATCAATCTTTTAAAATCTTGTCTAGAGTCCATTAAGATTAAAAGATTCAAAATTTTAAAAAATATATATTAAAATTTTAACATATTAATATTTTAATATTTTTAGATATATTTTTCAAATTAAAAATATGTTTATTAATAAATTTTATATCTCAAGATGGATTCGGTTTAAATTCAAAAAATTGTATCCAAAACTCAATCCGAGTCGGATCAAATCCGTGGATATAACAAATAATGTGAACCGTGAGCAGGTCAAGATAGACTTAATCGAAAAGGAAAAAACAAACTCTTTAATTAGATATTGGGCAAGTAGAGAAAAGGCTCCAAACTCAATGTATGATCAATTCTAGTACTTTCAAAGAAAGGAAATTTAAACCAACAAGCGTCAATGGGTGTCCTTTTCTTTTCCCTCATGTTCTTCTAGAAAATGATGGCGACCACTTCTTTTTCTTCAATCTTTATTTCCGTGGGCTCCAAGTATTGCATGCTAACTACTGATGATATATAGTCTAATTGGAGTGACAAGGACACTACGGTACATATGGTGGGGGCGATAACGTTTGAACTTCAGCAAATATGGACAAATGCAAGCCTTGATCGTTTACTTGATTATATTATATAATTTGTTAATAAAATATTAAACTTTTATTTTTAATAGTTAAAATATATTTATTAAAAAAAAAAAAAAAACTTGAATTTCTAGAAACCGTATTCTATTATGAAGAATATTGATCGTTCCACTTCGTAGAAACACCTGCATTTGACAGTCGAGATCATCATATTGTCAAGTTTTGTGGAGCTTAATTGTTAATTGTTTTTACGTAAAGCAAGTATCTTAATTATGTTTATATTTAAATGATTGTCAGTTTAATAATTTATTATCCTGTAATCTCTTTTTTTCATAGTGAAAAAATTTGCGATGATTGTAAAATGAATTTAATTTTTAGGTTAAAAATATTATTATAAATATTTTTTGTTTAATTTTCATTTAAACTTGTTATATTGTCACTTTTTGAAAAATAAGATTTTAATCCTAACACATAGAATAATAAACTTGTTTTTAATGAAGTCTTTTCTTCAATTAGAATTGGACAAAACTTTCATTAAGTTTTTTAGATGAAATTTGTGAAGTTTTTTTTTTAATAATTTAATAAAAATTTTAATAAAAAATCCAAATCTATAGATTTATAGATTTTAATGTGAAGACCAATGATATGTAAAAAAAAAATTATTGAAAAACATTGTTTATAATTTAAATTTGATTAATATTTATTCAACGATAAAAATTTTGTTAATACTTTTATTAAAAATTTATATTTAAAAATATATATCAAATTTATTAAATTTTTTTAAAATTTTACATACTTTATCTATGTAACGAGATCTTTTTATCTATCAATTTTGATTTTGATTTTAATTTTTATTTAATCATTTTTAATAAAAAAATTTCATGAATTTTACCTTAAATAACTTTGTCTAAATATTTCCCATTAGAATGTGCAGCCGCCCAAGGTTCTTTTCAGTGCTGGTTTAACTTTCCAAAAATATTTCATATCATTAGTTGACTGATGTATTACCTAATTCTGCCCTGCTTAATGCAGAAAGAGTTTGAACAACTCTAAATGATACTTGAATTCTTGCATTCAAGCAATGCTTAAATCTGAAACTTCCTTTTTGAGTTCTGTTGTCATCTTATATGAGTCAAGAATCAGATGAGCCGAAAGGAAAAAGAGGCATGTCTTCGAAGGAGCAAAGGTGAAATCTTTTTGAGAGTTAGTGTCCTTTTGTTTTCCCCTGAAACAGCATATCAAAAAAACTAGAAGAGGGACAATCAATGCTAGATCAATCCCAGCAAAAATTAGACGGTACAGAATTCCGTCCCTGGAAAAAAATCTCGACCAGGGAGGAAAACCGTCCTGACTTCTTGTAACATGCAGCCCTGCTTTTGATGAAATTCAAGTGCCCATTCAGTGTCATGAAGTCGTTTCACGAACTAGGCGTTCACTTTCCTAATCGGTTCTCTCATTTGGTTAGGAATGTCATTAAATCCATCTTCCTTATCCATTAATGGCACTACCTTAACAGGTCTCTTGAATGATATTCTCAAAATGGTGGTTTGGAAGTGGCGGATCCAACTTTGTACACAAGTTCATAGCTTGAATCACTGTGTAGAGCTTTCCTTGGTCTACTTTTTTTGAATGGCAGTATAAATACCTAATTTTGTTTAAGTAGATTCGAAGTTATTCAATTTTTATACCTAATGTGTGTCTCCATTTTGGTTATTTGAAAATTTTAATTAAATTTATCTTAGAGGGTCATTTGGGCTTTATTCATTTTAAGATTAATTTAATTTTATTGGATGCAATTTAGAGTTAGATAATTTGAGCTTAAGAGCCCAAATTTGATAGTAAAGAGCTAGAATCCATTTTAAAGTTCATTTTTATTAGAATTAATAAAATTAATTATAAAATTACAAAAAAAAATAAAAGAAATAAGAAGTAAAAGGTTGACTGCCTTATTCTCCCTTTTTGTCAACTTCATCCCTTTTGTTCGTCTGTTTCCCCTTTCATTTTACCCCTACTGACTTTTAAAATAAATTGATAAAAAAAAAAAAAAAAAGACATAAGGGCAGCATGCATCATCCCCCAAAATGCAACCACAAAAGGCAACAGTTCAAAATGAATTCGATCCCGGGTCCTTTCAAGAAAACTGAAATTCTATAAAGAAAACCCCAATTATAGGAATTATGCATCATCACACAAAGTTAAAACGATCGAATTTTAAAATTTTTCATTCTCTAAAGCCAAAATTATTTAACAAGATCATACAAACATATCATACAATCATATTTACATGGGGTTTCAGCTAAGGGTATGTACCTCTTTTGCCGAATTCGATTTGCTTCAAGCTAGTGATTGTCCAAGATGTTTCCTAAGCCACAAAGTTATCCAAACATGCAGTCTCTAATGATGATCTGCACTTACTCTTGTGAAAGAATCTTCTCTAAGAATGGAAAGAGCATAAATCACATTCTAACTAGTGAGTGTTTTCGAAAGCCTCTTGTTTTTCTCTCAAGTTTTTGCTTTTAGTTGCTCTTAGCTTATTTTTGCATCTAATATATCTTATGTGTTACAAGAGAGGCGGTAGCCTATGTTCTTTTATAGAGGAGTATTTGGCCAAACTAAGTTAGTGCATGAGTTGCATAATTCAAATTAGTCCCTAATGCTAGCCGAACATTCAACAAGGAAGTTTTTCTCTCTTGTTTTATTTCATCTATCTTTTGGTCTTATTAAAATCAAATTAAATCCAACTTAATTTGTCTCAATTTTAATATTTCATAATTGTCCTATTATGTGTGATCCATTAGCTTTTTAACGTGTTGGCAATGAATATAAGCATTGTGAACTTTTACATTCGTCTATAGATGAATCAAATCTTTTAACTTTATTACTAATTCTCTAATTAGCTAATATTATGTTTATAGGTCATGATTAATACTAGTTACATTGTTATAAC